AATGTATGGGTTACGTTCAATTTTTAAAAAGAGTGGGGCATTCTTTTTATAATTTAGGTAGTTTTTATATCTAATCTTAATCTATTATTGGTCAATCACTATTATAACAGTCAATCTCTTGAAATGTATTACTAATTCAACTCGACAGTAAAAAATGAGCACAATGTCACTTGAAGTAAGAATTGTGTAAAACTAAATATAATGAATTACATCTTTCTAATAATTATTTAAACAGTTTCAACTCAGCTCAGGAAAAAAGGCATTTTCGTTGTCGGCAATATGCTGGTGATTACCTGTAGCAACTAATATGTTTATAATTATTATCACGAACTGTCAGAAGTTTTTATTTTATGTCAATCATTTAAGGGTTTTAAATGTCTTTTTTTTAAAAATTTGTGGTGATTTAACTAAAAACTTTGCTTTATCTCTTGTACATTACCAATCTGATTAGAATCATCTCTAAATAACATAAAATAAATAATTAGATCTGAACTTTAGTCAGATTGGTACATTACCAACTTCATGTAGCAAACATCTGACAAAAGTCTTTTGTATTTTTGTCATAAAAATCAGAATATTAAATAGTTAAAATATTACAACGTGGGCTTAATTGCACTTTTTAATGAACATTCAATTGCTAATCAAGTTCAGTTCTTATGTCTTTGATGTATCCTGCTAACCTGGAGTTCACTATGAACGTGATATTCTATGCATCTAAATACCTTAATTTTTCTCATGAATGTGGGTAAATTTTTGTACATATCATATTAAATATGACTTTTCTTTACTCATTTATTTTATACACGATAGCCCACCTGGTCACATACATGTATAGATATTGTATTTATATATACTGTTACTATTTGTACTAGCTTTAACATGCATATTACATTTGAAGGTTCAATATTATGTAAATACATGTACTTTTTAGTTATGTAGGAAATAAAGATAATGAATGAATGAATGAAGCTTAAGACTTGGCTATAACTGATACTAGCGTGGTCGATTTTTTTTTAAGAAAAAGCGGAGAGGTGCCAGTAAGGTCTCTTTCTCATCTGTCCTTTTTCACTTGAGGTGTTATTTTTTACATTTTCGAGATGAATAAACGTAAACAATTCATGGTTCATTGATAGATACCCTCTAACCTTTTATTTGAATAACATAAGATTTGCAGTAAAATTCTTATTGTAATCCACTAAGCTGATAATTTGGATTAGACAGATTAGGGTCACGTTGGGGTTAGGCTTAGTCTTTACCACAGTTACAAAGTAACACCTGTGATCTATACTTGTCTTTCTTAAAACGAGAATAACTTCAATTACATATAATTAAATGTATTATGGCAAAAATAAAACATTTTACAATGTTTACTTTCCTTTTCTGCCTTTTCTTGGACTTTAATTATCTGCTTTTCTTAGTTTTCATTATCTCTCCTTAGGGGTCATTCTGTGTTATTTCACGTGGTACACGTGCCGTTTTCCATGTAATGACAAAATGTGAAATACAAGTCAGAATTACGAAGGTAAAGGAAGAATTATCCATTTTTTGAGAGTACAGATAGTTTAACTGTATTTTATCTGACACATGAAACGCAGTTGTTAACGCTCAGTGAGTCGATTTAGGTTAAGTAGCCGGAACAGGACACAGACACTTGGGGTATGGAGCTTAAATAAAACGCCTTAAAAGTCCAAATAAATTTTATATTTGTCCAGTACATGTACTGATCATATATATAAAAAAAACATAATATAAGCCGTTTTGAAAAAAATTCATATTTCAACGTCTATAATTATAATAGCAATTAAAATAATTGACCTTAAAGGTGAAGGTCATTTATGAGTGAAGGTCACATTCAATTTGATCTTGAAGATATTTTCCAAAGGTTTATTATTTATATGTTGTGTATAAAAGCAATCCATACAAATAACGAAAAAGGATGTCAATTTATGTCCATGGTCAAGGTCGTTTTTTTATGAGTCGAGTTCAGTTTGGTCCTTAAGGTTGTTGAGTACAAGTATAGAGACAATCCATTTGCAAATTTATATCCATTGTAGAAAAATTCAAGCAAATTGAAAATTTGACTTTGACAGTCAATGTCATTTGTGAGTCAAGGTCAGGGATTGTTATTATTATTTTATTGTTATTTATTTTATATTGGATAATGAATGTTCTCATACATTAATTGGGCACAGGCAAGTTAAAGACCACTAGAATAAATGTATTTCATATGTTTACCCTTCCTATAGATAACTGGAAACTGAATACTAAAATTTTTGAGTATATAATATGTATAAAATGCACACTTATCATTTGTTGATAGGAGCATGAATCAAACGCAGGCCTGTCTTGCCAGCTGTGCTTGCTGGCTTTTTGTTACCAACCTGAGGCAAAATATTGGCTTGGAGTCTGATTATGTAAACATATTAAATATATTAATTTGTGCAGTCTCTTCCACTTGGTCAATTTTCCACTCCTGTCAGACATTCTGTTTAGTACTATATTTTTGTAATCGTCCTGTGCAAAAAGAGGTTCAAAGTTGGGAGGTCAAGTTTAGTCTTGTCTTGTGCTCCAAGTTTGCAGACAATCCATTGAGAAATTAAACAATAATTATGATCACACCTTGACTATAGCAACTTCTCAATATTTTTCTGTAAAAAATAAATCAAAAGAAAATGGGTGCTGATAAAGTACTTTTGAGATAAAAAGGGAGGCAACAGATTTTTAGGTAATTTAAGTAGTGACAATAGATTAATCTCCCTTGAATCATTATATAGTAACCTTTTAGCTTGACTATACATTGAGTATGGCATGTTGAATTCTTTGCAAACTGTTTTTAGGCAATGAAAAATTAACTGTATTGATTTTAAGATCAACTGAGTTTGTGCATAACTAGTAGATGACTCAATTTGAATTCTGGGCCCTTAATTTCCATAAAGGGGACTGGGGCCATAGGTCCTTGGGTAGGAGAATATGTTATTTGAAAATTAAAAGAGGATTTGTTTGTCAACAATGTTATTCATTATTATAAGAATCATATTTTTCATTTTGCAAAAAAAGCATATTGCAGTAATTGTTAAGAACCTCTGACTTTATACTACCTAAAGGGAAAGGTGACCCAGCTGCTATGGGGTGATTGTTTTTGGATGAACACTAAACTATTTGAAAAAAATCCAACATTATTGCAGCCCTAGTGTTTTAATCAATTATAATTTTAATGACATTAAAAAATTTCATATTGTCTCAGTTTAGAGTAAATTATGTGATATAAGATCATTAAATTGATTTTCAAAGTCTACTTTAAATATTTTTATAGAGAAATTCAAAAGTGACCTGCAGCAAAGTAGGTTTATTAGATTTTTGCTGCTCTTGAAGTTTCTAACAGGATTAGACTTGGGATTTTTGGGAAGTTTTGCAATATTTCACTAGTAACTAACTTATATGTGATATGGTCACCTAGATTAGTTCCATTAGTATGAAAACATTTATTGCTGTTGGTTTTTCCATTAGTTTTAACAATGCTGGAAATTTCAACTGGCATAGAGGGTGCCAAATGCGTCATATGCTCTTAAATGTTGTCATTTTGGCACAGCTTAGAATGTAACTGCAAACATTCAAAGCCCCTTGTTCATAATAAAACACCATAAGAAACTAGTTTGAAGTTTGTTATCCAGTTTATTGGAATTTCAACTTTTTTTGTAATTATCCAGAAATTGGTGAATGATAATTCAATTATCATTACCAAATATCAATAATTTAAACAGTTACATAATAACTTGCTTGCAAGTTAAATACATTTACAGACATAATTATAAACATGTTCATACAATCATAAAAAATATTGCACAATTTACTTCATTTTCCAACTTATTCTTTTAAAACATTTCAATACCTGTCATTTATGATTCATTTCCAAATTAGTATCAAGGTGTATTTAACCTTCTTCACTAGGCATTATTTACTATTATCATCAAATTTGTTGTCATTTTAAAAATTCTTGAAATTTTACTTGTAGATTTATTTAATGGAAACATAAAATGTTTTCCTTTGGTCAACTTCAAATCTTTGTGCTCAACTCAACACTGAGCATTCATAAAATAAATGTTACTAACAAGTTTTAAATAATTTAATTGTTCATGCTTAATATTAAAAACATGCCTGAAAGTTGACCATTGTAATGCTTGTATTTTAATTAAACATCATAATTAAAATGATAATGAACATAATGTATTGACGATAATAATCATAAATGATGATGATGATGATGGTGGATGGTGATAATGATGAATAATGATGATAATAATGGGGATTGGTATAATATTGATAATAATTATCATAAAACTATAGCAATGATAACAATAAAGATAATTATGATGATGATACTATAATTATCATAAAAGGTGATAATAAAAATAATACTTATCATATGACAGTGATAATTATAAAATTAATGGCAATAATGATGATAATAATCATAGTAATGATGATAATACTTATAATAAAAATAATGATCATTGTAATAATAATAATAATAATAATAAAAATAATAATAATAATAATGATAATGATAATGATAATGAGGCCATCCTTAAAAAAATGTTTGTTTGCAGTAACCCGACCCAGAATTTTCAAGGTGGGTAGGTAGGTCGATTTTTTTTTTTTTTTTTTTTTTTTTTTTTTATTGAACTGTACTCCCAAATAAACATGGAATTTCAAAATGCTGGACAATATATGCTTTGATAATCTGGTAACAATTAATAAATTGATAACTGAATTCTAATTTAATAAGAACTACATTTTATTTCTTCTATTAACCTTTAAAAGAACGAAAACAAAGCACAAGGCATAATTTTCTGATTCAAAAAAAAAAATTTTTTTATCCAGACCATGAAAAAAAATTTGAGTAGGGGCAAATTTTGTGAGTCGGTCGCGTTACTGCAAACAAACATTTTTTTAAGGATGGCCTGATAATAAAAGAATTATTATGATGATAATAGTAATGATAAAGATATTGATAAAAAATAATGGAAATGATGATAACAATGATAATAATAATAATAATGTTAATAATAATAATAATGATGAGAAAGATAATGGTGATAATGATAATAACAATGATAATCAAAATAGTAAATACAATAATGATAATTTACAATCATAATGATAATAGTTGTCATTATAAAAGAAAGACGTTTGGCACCTTAACATTTTTGGTACAGAATGTAATGATAAAATACTGATGGTAAGCTTTGATTCTCAGGATAATATCTCCTACCATGCTTAATATCTTAAATGGACTCATCCATCTTTCTATCTGGACCAAACTATTGTCATTTTAAGGGAGAATTTCAAAATATGTATTGAGTTAAAAGCAAACAGTGTATACTATGATCAGCTCAGAGCTGACAAATGTGTTGGATTGATTACATGGGTAGAAAACTGTTGGCCCCCAGCAGGCTAAGGGTTAATATATTTCTTCAAGGCATGTCCATGTTACATGTAGCTGCTTTTGAACAACTTATATAGTCTCAAGCCTGTATAGGTTAATTATTATCAAAAAAAACCCATAGAGAACTTGATATTAATCTTAAATTTTTGGTTATTCTTTGACAGTTTTTAGCTTAAAATTTTTCTGATTGAAAATGTTTTAAAATTGATTTTAGTAAACCTTGTATTCCTATAATAAGTAGCATTTAAGTATAATTATATGCTTATTTTATAGAAATTCTTTGAACTTAGATAAACAATTAATCATTACATCTATTACAAAGTCGCTTTAATATAAATGCCCCTTGCCCCTTACCCTTACAACATGTGCCTCTTTCTGGCGGAAAAAATAATCCCTCTTAGGCTGCTGATCATAAATTCAATAACAATATCATTAATTGTGTTGTATACAAGTTTTAAATTAAAGTTAAATTTAATGCTCACAAAATGAAAAATTTAGTTCCACTAGGGGTTATTGTAGTATGTGGGTGTTACAATGGGAGTCTCATACACTGAAAAACTTTGGTTCCAGCATTTTATATTTGCTTCCATTCTCCTGAGAATCAAAATGTCTGGTTCTGGGCAAAAACATTGGCATTTGTCCACCACAGAAAAGTGCAAGTTACAGTAATTTACAGGATCTAACTACTCCGTATTTGTATTTTCACACCGTTTTATCCATTCAATCACAAAAGCAAGTCTTTTATCAAACATTTCTGCAAACTGTGAGTAAAGATTGTCTTTTGGTAAAAAATCTATCAATGGCTCAAAAGAGCGCGAGAAATTCAGAAGTCTTTTATGTGGTGACGCATGCGAAGAAAGAAGTTTTAATGCTTTGACTAGAGACGACTGGAATACACACATTGTTCGTAACATTTTGTTATGGAATGTCGTAAAACGAGAATTTGGATGGTATGGCTCGAGCAGTTCATAGGCATCAAAAAGTCCGCTCTCATTGTCTATGAGCCATAATTTTCCATCCTGTGATGATTTCCGAAGGTTTCGTATAGGTTCCTCTATGATCTTTGGGTTCTTTTCGCGTTCCTCCGCATCTTGCATACTGGCAACTCTGAAAATAAGGGTTGAAAATTATGTAGATTTTGATTCAAATGATTAATTTTACTTCTGTTATTTATTTATTTATTTATTTTTATGAATCTGTCAGTGGAAGTAAAAAAATAGAGGTTTTCAAATGTCTCCTGAAAACACTCCTGCGGATTTGAATTCTGCTGTCAAGCATGACATGTATTAATACTGCCTGGGTTTATAGATTGTTATATATTAAACTGCCGACAAAAGAATCACTGAACATAGTATTGTGTTATAAAGAAAGCGAAACATAAAAGAGTAGTGTTGTGACTTCCATAAAAATTACTTATTCAATATAAATATACCAATTTCTTACAAAGCAAAAAAAACAAAAGATAGTTCCTTTACGTACCATATGAGTAATTATTTTCTTAAAACTGTTACAAAATACCAAAAAATTAAAGTTTTTGAGCTGGCATTTCTTGGGGCATAAAGGGCCTTTAATATTCAAGTTATAAGGCACCATTTCACAGCAGCTTTGTTTTAAAAGTTTTATTTGAATAATTTGTTATTAAAATAGGAAGCAGAAGATATAAATACCTGTCATAATTTCCTGTTAGAAAATCAAACACTATCATCGTTCCCCATTGGACAACTTCAGCAATGTGGGCAGGGCTTTGGCTAGGAAGGTTGGATGTATTAATCACGTGACTTGTTACAGGTGTGCCTTTTCTGTAAGCTTCTAATATGACTGGTGGAATGTAGGCCCTGGAACTATGGAAAACGAGATAAATTTTAATACATGATTTAGTTGTAGTTTTGCATCATAAAATTTGTACTGGAACTTAAAAAAAGTGTAATTGTAAATTCTATTCCAGAATATGCTAAAACAAGATGATGTTTGAATTCATGCAGGCTTGATTGGTAAGTTATAATAAAATGAACCATCTTGTCTTGAATTTCACAAAACTAAATTTATGTACAATGAAATTTTTGTATATTTGGTAGTCTGTTGGTATTTCATAGCTGTAATGCATGCACCAGTCTTTGTCACTATGCCTCATTCAAGCCATATAGAATAGTAGGGACTTTAAATTTGGCTACAGCAAGACACTGGTATTATTTCCACAGAATGATGTTAAATATCATGGCTTATTTTCTATGCAGGCCGCTGCAGGACTCTCGAAAGTGGTTTGGCATGAGAGCTGAATACCATTACTGTATAATATCGAAATGATTTCAAAATATTATATGATATAATTTAAAGAGTTTTGTTTTGTTACCCTGATCCTGAATTTATGTCATCAATCCATTGTATGAGTGCAACCACCTTATCCTCCTTCCAGGTTAAAGAGCTGATATTTACAGCTCTCCACATTGTGGAGGTAGCATTGGTCTTGGAAAGTATAACAGCAGGCACATTGTCCATTCTCAGGAGTCGTGACAGATAAAACGACAAAGCTTCTCCTTTTAAGAAAAAATAAACATTTGACATTTTGATAAAGGTTAGTGCTATACAGTATATATTTGTTTTCTGTGAGTTGTACATGATTCAATACAAAATTAAATGGTTAGAGCTGGGTTGATTTTTCATGAAAAGTAGGAATTATAATGGCATAAATTGAGGCTTAAAATGCCATCAGCTTATGCACAAGGCTTGCATCATGCATTTTGTAAATAAGCATCTTCCAGCATTCAATCTTGTTTTAAAATTCTATGCAATATTTAACAAAAGAACAAACCTTGGGGAAAAGAGAAATTAGTCTCCGTAAAAGATGTCTTAACTGTCAGAGGTTTCATGTAAAAAAAAAAAAAGGTTCATAATAAGTTTCAACATATTTTTGCTGTTTTGGTTCTAAAAATAATTGACAATGTTTTCTTACATAGAAAACGACACCCTTGTATAATTTGTTGATCGTGACATTAATGATTTAGCATTGTTTTAGACTGACACAGTCGGACACATACAAAATGCTACCCTAGTATAATTTTGTATTTCTTTATGTCAATAATTTAATGGTGTTTTCTTACCATAAACAAAGGAAGAATAAGATTGTCTATATCTGGCACACATCCTTGTACCATCACTAAGTACAGCATATCCGTTCAATGGCCGACCACATTTGTCCCAGCTCGGTTTTTCTAAAGTGTTCACCACTTGTCCTCTCAAACTCTTCATAAATCTAGTTACATTGGAATAGGAAAGACCTGGAACAGATTGAATGTGTATAAAAATACATTTGATCTTAAAATTCTTTAACATTTTTCATGATATTTTTTCACTATTGAATATCATGAAAACATGTATCTTTACTAAGGGAAACATTTCTGTAATATACTGTTGAAGAATTGAGGAATTTGTTTTGGCTAGATATATACTCTTTTTTTATGTCGGTACTTTTTAAAACTATTATAAAAATGAGATTATTATTATCATAGTTTTCAACAATCAATGTAAAAAAGTATTGCTCCATTTTTATTTATGTAAAAAAAGATGCAGCCAAAAGTTTAATTTGATTAGTTTAGTTTATTGCAGCACATAGGATCTGAATGTAAAATATTATTCAAATGATTCAAAAGTATGTAATGAAAAACAAATGGGTTGGGCAATAAGTTATAGCAATTTGGTTAGTCTATATAGATAATCTCCAATATTATTATAATTATTATTATCGTTGTCAAAAATCCTCTTAAACTTGTAAAAATAAAAGTTCGCATTTATTACTCAATATATGTTGGCAGGATTATTTTATATTTTAAGAATTGAAATAAAATTAAATTACATGATTCTACAAAAACAAATTATAATGGGTGAACAAACTCTCTTTACTTTGCCAAAGTTAATAAATCAAATCTGTTTATTAAAGGGAGAAAACCAGGTATGTCTTGTTTATATTGAAAACAAGGGAGGTAACTTGTGGCTATATTGAGACACCATTACCAGAGTCTGTAATATTTTCCATGTTGGTTGCAAAATGCTTATTGTTGAACCTCCTCATCAATTCTTTGGTAAATGATTAAATTTAACATAATTGCTCCCGTGAGTTTAGGTATTTTGTAGTTACTGATTGCTGTTTGCACTAACAGTTGACCTATCTTGACATTACTGAATCAGCCTAGCGTTCAAATCTGTGATTTCTTACCAGGCTGAATTTTGCGCCAAAATTTGTAAATACTGAATAAAAATACCTTTCATCAACAATAGAGGATTCCAAATTCAAAGCAGGACCTGTTTGTTACTCAGATCTCATTTGGGTACAAAATCAACTAAACAAGCTTTAAAGATGTATATTTTTCTTAAGTACGAAGGTGCATCATGATTGATGGGTGTTTATTTGTATTTTGCGCCATTGTTTATACCGTAGTCATTTTCTAGACGCACACTCTGACAATGCATTAAGTGTTTTCAATTAAAACGCACTTCGGAAAACTATGTTTCTGCAAGTTTCACCCCTCTGCAATGCATTTGTTTGCATTTGTTCTAGGTTTACGTTTGATAAATGGACGTGTTTTTTGAAGTATTTGCGCTTTTGTCACCTATGTTAGGTATTTGAACGTAATTCAGACACATACAAGGGCCTTTCCTGCAGTGAAATATTTGATGTTCTTGGTAACAAGATTATTTTGTCTACCCGGTATGGATTTTAAAGGTAGTGTAATCACAGATGTAATGAAAATTTAGAAAAAAATACATCACGAACCAGAAGTTTATGGAACAAAAATTGTATCATTGCGAGTGAGATAAAAAAATTTAAATCATTAACATCGAGTTACAGATAATTTTGATTCTGGTGTGATTGGACGGTTATCAGAATGATGTTATAGTACTGTTGTTGCTTCTAACACACAGAGTTAAAGGTTAAAATGCTGAACAATAATATAAAGCTTGTCTTCTCGCACTTCCAATTAGCTTCAATGAGCTCTCTTATGTTGGCTTATCAGCTTTCCAAAATGATTATCATATGGTATCCTAAATTTAACAATTGACCGTTTTGAAAATGGAAGTTCGACAAGACTATTTAGGTAATTTAACAGGGTTTCGATAATTTTTGTGAGCAACTTGCTTTATATAAATCATATACATGTATTAGTCTAAAATTTTATAATGTCAAATTCTTGTTTGAAGGTATTCAAGATATTTTTTTCAAGTGAGGTTTAATTGCATTGTTTGCAGCAGAGCTGTCAATTTGAGTGGGTGTAAAAGAACCACCCCACAAGGTATAATTCATCAATTAATATAAAAAAAAAACACTGTCATGTGACTAAATTGATAAAATAAACCTCTTTGCAGAGTCTATTCTAGGACGCGCGATTGCACGATTCACGCTAGTATTTAACAGATTGCGCAAAATTCAAAATCATGTGCGTGAAAATCGCGCATCTATAAAAAAAGTTAATAAAACCGTAAAACTTCAATCCCGCATTATATTTGGTTGTTTTGTTTACATTTACACCGAAAACCGAAGGGAGGTAACTGTAAGCTAAATATAATAATTTAGGACCGTATGGTACTGGTTACGTGATTTGACGGAAATTAACAGAATGTTCCGTATCGACCGGAACTAGTGTGCTAGGTCTGACAGTTGGGCGCCATTTTAGTGTAGTAAATAATCAAGAAAAATGAGGCAATTCCTAGCTTGGCTACGATCTAGACGTAAAAGATAGTTTGATTATTTGTACATGTATTGCCAATCCCTTTATAATCAATCGCGGCAGTTCTGTAATAATTTGTTTTCGTTTAAAAATTAAGGGGGGACAACTTCTGCTGCCTAAATAAATATTATCGTTTTAATTATTTCATCGGTTGAACGCCTCTGTGTAAACTTAATGCAGACGATTTAACATTGGCAGTTTATATTGGCACCCTTTGATTTTGAAAATCGCCCCCTTTTTTGAAATAGAGGGGGGAAAATCACCCCTATTTTTCAATTCCTAGAATAGACACTGTCTTTGTAACAGTTTTCTTTTCATTACAATTTGATGGGTTTCAAAATGTTAAATTCAGAATGTGGCTTAAAAAGTTAGATTTCAAGTAAAATAGACATCTATTTTGCAGAAAAAAATGTTTGTTCAACCCTTAAGTTAAATTTCTGTTCCCATCTACTTGAAGAATTATCAATTAGATGAGATTGTAGGCTAGGTCCTGCAACATCTTTAGCTTTCTGTTCAAAGAATAAAATAAATGTTGCCCATATTTACACAGATTATGCATTAATGCTGGATATTATAAAGCAATAGCATACAGGAGTTTACTCTGAATTCAACATAATTCTGACAATTTGGCCATTTGGAAGAGGTCCTGGCAATTAGGACCCTTAGGTCTCTTACTTAAATTTAGTGAAGAATAACACCAGTATATTTAGAATAAGGAAAAGAAAAAACTTAATATTACTTTAACTTCAAAAGTAAACTGCATGATTTTAAAGAACTTTTACTTATTTTCTAAATTATAAGTGAAGTAACCCTGTAGAAATAATATAAGGTGATAAAAATAGCAAATTCAGTCATATTCTGTAAACCATGCAAATAAGGTTCTACATTGATTATGAATACCAAATTTAAATGGTTCTACAACACTTGATGCATTTAAAAAAAACCTCTCACTGGAGCTGTAATGAAGAATTTGCAAACAAATCAAGTTTTTATCGGCCTAATGGCAAAAAGATGAGTTACATCAGAGACTTAAATACAATAATGTTAATCACCAACATTTGCATAAAACAAACATTTATTGTATCTGAAAAGCTCCGAAGCCTTTTTTTATGACAAACTATTACACAAGCTGCTTGGTTCACAAGTCTTTGATTCCTTTGCATTTGTTTAATACACCATTGTGTTCTTGAATGCTTGTTTATAATAATCCCATAATGGTTTCCTTTAAATACAGGCGGTATTAAGATATTATATGCTCGTTACCGCTGGCAACATGTTTGAATATTTTCCTGCATCTGTCATTAATATCAGTATCACTGTAACCATTATGCAGCTTTTGCAAATGATAGAAACACACAATGAAGAAAAGGTTGAAAATCTATTTAAGCTTTGTTGACCTTGACCCTGCCAAATTTGACCTTTAAACCCCACCCAATGTTACAGATCAATCTAAGGTACATGAACACACAATGTTGAAGGTACATGAACACACAATGTATTTAAGATATCAGTTAATAAAACAAAAAAACTAAAAGTAAGTGTGAAGAAGGAAATACAGGCAGACAATTATACTCTTCATCGAAAATGTATATGAAGCTTAAAATATATTTAGAATTTGCCGGGACAAATTTAAATATCCTAAACTTTCACATTTACCAGGAAGATGACTTTGTATTGGCTGACTTTTTCCCCTGATAGCCTTATTTCATACCTAAAACAGTTGGTCCCCCAGAACAGGTTCCTAAATATCGGAGGGGAAAATGCAAATGAATATCAGTGTTTGTGAATTATTATTGACCTTAACATTTAAATAAACCAATCAAGCCTGAGGTCATGAGTCCAGAATCTGGACCCTAGATCTTTGACGCTCTCCCTTACCAGTTATCGGTATAAGTATCTTTGGTTTTGGGTACCACTTTTGACAGTCATTACATATTAATGCAGCCTAAGATAGTTTCAGTGTTATGAATGTAAGAACTGTTTTATCTTTTGTCAGGGCTTAATTTGTCAGGGCTTAATTAGTATAAAATATCACAGCTGCATAATTTTGAAGCAGTTAAACTTATTGTAGGTACAGTTTGTTATATAGACCTGGTTGTTGGACAAACATTCTGCTTGGTCATGGAAAATATATATATATAGTAATGCACAGTCATGACAATATTTACCTTGGAAACTGACGTACATGAACACAAACAAAATTGAGCCATGTCATGACAAAACCAACGTAATGCTTTTGCGACCAGCATGGATCCTGATCAGACTGCGCGGATGCACAGGCTGGTCTTCATTCATGCTGGTCGCAAACACATAACGTTGGTTTTATCATGGCGTGGCTCAAATGTCTCCTTTCCACTATGTTATTGTCAATTTACAATTTCTGCAATGATAAATTGCTGCGAATGCCATAGACAATAACTACCATGGACATTGTCTGTGATGGAAGGCAAATTTCTGCCATAGGTAATGTCTTCCATGGAAAATGTATGTAGAAATGGATTGTTTTTCCTGTTAAATTGTTATTTTTCTAATTTAACAGAGATACTATTTTCAGT